AAAAACACGCCCATTATTTTCATCGTATATTCATTTGACGTTCTGTCATACATTGCTTGCAATTTTCCTCCGAAGAGAAACATTAATCTAAGACGCCTCCGGGAGGTTGAATATTTCGATCCCAACGCAAAATTACTCTATTTTTCTCCGTGTCTTTATCATCTCTCATCCTTTTTCCTTATTCATTTGAATATGTTTGCTAATTTTCAAAATTTTGTGCGCGAACGTTTAATATAGTTGTGACTAACTGACACTACATGGGTTAACAGCCATACGTCAGCCTAACGAGACAAGAAAAAAGGAGCTATGCACGGCACATTTAATCAGGATTATTGCTTGTTTTTTAATCCATTCTATTGCACTCATTGCACTGTTTACAGTTTCATTCTTCGGTAACGAGCTACGAGTTTGCTTATGAGCAATGTGCTATAGCCTTGAAGTTTTCGTCTCTACTCTTGATTATCATCCTCTGACGTAATGTAAGTCATCTGCAATTCTGTATTATCACAAACATTGCATGCCATTACTTCATTCCACTTCTTTTTGTGACTCTTCACTACAGGTCTCATTACACCAACATGTCTCCTTACAATAATATTCTACTTATCTTTAAAGCACTAATTTTTACACAATATTCTACCAGCCACGTTAACAGATATTCATCACTATCATTATTGTTAAAGATTAGTCTTCATTACGGCACCTTAAATATCTAGTCAAATCGTGCTGCAAAATACACACCATTGATAATGCAAATTTTGCTTTAAATACTAGCACCTGTTAGGTGAAACTATTTTTTTTAATCTTTCGCAATTTTCAGTAAATATTCGATATTTGATCATGTTTTACCATCTCATAGACTTCGGTTGACGACATGACATTCAGTACATTAACATTCATTCACAACGTTTTGCATCTCAACGTTTGTCTCAAGGGCATTCCACTATTTTCCACACAACTATCCATCCCATTTCCCCGCCAAATCCTTCCCTCACCTTTCACGCCATTGGCCTCTTCGTCCTCCCTCGCCCCGCCGCCATAGTGTCTCCTTCCGCTCCCCTCCCACCACCCACCCGTCGACGCCCGCCAGTCCAGCCGCCGGCGCCTTGCTCGGGCCGCTCTGAATAATAAATGCAAATTTGGGGGGATTGTGAAAAGTTTAAACTTGGAAATGTATTCCTGAGATATTAGTCTCCGGCGTCGTCAGCGCCACGACGGCGACAGAGCGGGGGACGGGGCGGGGAGACGCGAGGTGGGACGATGCAAGATGAGCGGAGCGGGGCAGGCGGTAGAGGGTGGGGCGAAGTGCGTCGGAGTAGGGATGAGCAAGGCGCAACAAGGTGAAATGGGACGAAGCGGGGAGATGCAAGGTGAAACCGGTGAAGCGGGTCGGTGCGGAGCTTTGCGGTGCGGGACAGAGCGTGGCGGAGAAGGGTGGGTTAGGCGATGTGGCAAACCGCGAGTGAAGTCAGAGACGATAATGGAACTCCGTGGGGGCCCAGTGCGGGCGGGGGGAGCCAGAGCGCAAGTGGCCTGTGCGGGAGCCTTCCGGTGGAAGCGGCGGAAACAGCGAGCCGAGCGGAAAAAGTTTGCGGGAAAAGTCCGTGCGGAAAAAGCCCCTTCGTGCCGGAAAGGCGTGGCGCGGAAAAGGCTGGGCGGAAAAGCCCGTGCGGGAAAGGTGGGCGGAATCCGCGCGACGGGGGAAAGGCGGGCGGAGCGGAAAGGTGGGCGGCGAAGCGAGCCGGGGCCGCGGTACGAGGCGCCGGAGAACGGACGAGGCTGAGAGAGCCACGGCCACAAGAGCGAGGAGGTGAGCGGTTGGCGGAGCGGGCAACGACGTCACTGGGCGAGCTAAGACGACGCGGGACGAGACGCAGCGGGCAGGTGCGGGGGCGGCAGTGGAATCTGAGGGCTCCAAGAAGGTGCATATGCATGATCCTTCTCCGGCAGACCCATTACCCTCGCCGCATCCCCCGCCGCCATCGCCGCCCACTCTTCGACAGCGTTGCTATGCGTTGCCAAGCGACGGGATCAGCCGCGGGGGCGGGCCGAGGTGGGAGGTGCGTGCGACGCGTCGGCACGCCGGGCGCGCCGGGCACGCACCGTCGCACGCACTTTCGCGGCGGGGGTGGCGCGGCGCGGCGCCGATCGACGCCGTAGTGGCGCGCCAAACGGCTCCGCCCTCTTTTGCACTCACCCGTCTCACGAGCCGCTGCACTCCTGCCTCGCGCCGTTGCACGCAGCGGACCCGCCCTGCGTTTCTCCCGCGGACCCGGACTCGCCGCTGATTCTATTCATGAGGCTCTCTCCCTTTCTTTTGTTATTTTTATCTTGAGGTATCCTAATACTGTTTCATTCCTCAAGTTTATGGTAGGCTATAACCAGCAACTATATGAGGGTATTAACAAATATTATTATTATTATTATTATTATTATTATTATTATTATTATTATTATTATTATTATTATTACCAATAATAATAATAACACCAATAAGAAGAATATGAAATAATAACAATAATAATAATATTCACAGTATCAGTGTAAATTAAGTAATCAGTCCAAAAATATTCAGAAATTCAGACAATATCCTTTATACGAAAATAATTATAAAACCATTGCGGAGACCATTATATATTATTTTCAACACAATATCACATTATTAATGTAATTTTCTGTTCTCCGAATGTCCTGCACAGTCACTAATGAATGTACAGTAAAACAAGTAAACAACGGCAAATGTTAAAATATGTATACAAAAATTGCAGTTCTTTCCATGTTTACTTATGAAAAGAAATCATTTTTTCGAATTTAATGTGCGGGCAATCCGTTTTCACGAACCCGCCCCTAAAAAAAAATAAAACTGCCCTACCTTTAGGGCATTTTTTCCTCTTTCCCAACCCACAGGCCATAATGTCATTACGATTTCATCGCATATGTCCTCCGACTCGTCCACTCAGCGGCCAGCCCGCCCCTCGCCGCCCAGCGGCATCGCCACACAGGCGCCGTGACCTTGACCGCTCCACTTTCTACACGTGTGGGATTAGCCCAGCCCAGCCCTCGCAGCGGCGAGTAATTTTTTTACTCGGCGGCGGACAGCCCGCGCCGCCCGGTGGCGGCCGAGGATTCCGAGGCAGCGCCGCCCGCACAAACCGGGCCCTCGCGCGCCCTTCGCAGGTTCAAAGCGTTGCGTCAAGGCCGTAAGGATACGCGAAGGCCGTTAGGATATGCGAAGGCCGCCGGGGTCGGTTAGCCGTTTCGCGCGGAGATCCTGGCCTTCACTTCGCTTTCTGTTCTGCCGGCCTTCAGGCTGGCATTCCCGGAGACGGTTATCAGTGCCAAAGTTAAAAAAGTGTTAAATTTTATCCCAAAGAACTATAAATATCTTCCGTTCCCCGTCTTCCCGGAAATGTGACTCTTCTCGAAAAGTCCAAATGTTTTGAATTTGTGATATTAAAAGACGAACAAATAAACTAACTTGACAGGAAGACTGCAGTACTATACGTTTAACTCTGCTTTACTGACTTCAAATTTTGCTCGTCGTCATTGCATAAATAGTACAGGATGATGGATTAATCCGTAAAATTTGTAAACGTTTTGTTGTTCACCTATCCCCAACAATTTGCGAGAATAAATTTTTATAACAAAAACGGTTGTTAATTCTTTACAGAAGAGTACGTTTGTGTGTAATACCTAAATGACTGAAGTACCAGAAACGTGTAAAGCCTTTTAATGTTTGCTAATAGAGAATGTGATATATGTATATATATATATATATATATATATATATATATATATATATATATATATACGCATTGTCTTAAAAACAAATCACCATATTGCCAATTTATGGTGGCCAAATCATTATCATATCACAGAGGCAAGCGCATCAAATGTCGTGGGTTACGTCAACTGGGCTGCATCCAATCACGTTTACATTGCAAGCGGACTCCCACAAACAGGAGGTTATGTTTACACCCACAACCGCTGAATAGCTGAAGTGATTATTACCGAGACACAACCCATATGGACGGAATATCTGGAATTGAATCTCAAGGTGGTTTACAAGGGCATCTTCCGCATCGTAATAGTTCGGCTTTCAGACTATTAGTTAACCAAGTAAAACCTTCAAAAAATTCAAAACGATAAGTGCGTTCTTAGATTCTTAGTGTGGCATGTTGCATAAGAAACACATTACTGTTTGAAATCTGAATGATATCAAGTTGTTGAAGCTCATGAACTACACGTAAACATGGTACTAGAATGCGTTTTGTTTACGTGTTTACTAGTGACATGACCATAAAAATATTCATAAAAATTATTATTGAATATTTCCGACATTTTACCAGCATTGATATTTGAAGGTACTTTTTGTGGATATACTTTGAAACAAATATTTAAACTGGAAGTTTCATGATGTATTCAAAGAATAATTGGACTCAAATATCTTATTTTATGTCAAGACTCAGTAAACGACGTATAAAACACACCACTAATCTTCCATCCACACAGACAATATTCTTGACTTCCAATCCACGATAATGCAGCTGTAGAATTAAAGACATATAGTAACGACGCCAATGTACAATAAACCGTTGGATATTGATGGGTTCAGAATAATGGGCAAAACACTGCACTTAACACAAACCACATGTGTAAGAACAAAAATATGCGTGTAGAATCACTAATAAGAACACTTCGACATCACCAGCTGTAGATCGCTACAGAATCGTATCATTAAGGTTCTTTGGAACGTATTGAAAATACGCCCAGTTAAATAATGAGGGTGCGTCGTGAAATTGCAAATACCGTATCCTCGGAGCACAACCACACATCAAGAGCTCCATAAAACGGTTAGTGGCCTTAAAAGAACAGACGAGCATCGCGGAGACATCAACGAGGCGTGCGGCGGCGTCGGGGCAGACTTCGCCATAAGGTCACCGCACAGCGCTAGTGCGAGCGCCAACCGCCGTCGTCCAAGGTTGCAAAAGGGGTCTTACCTTGAGCCGGCGCGTAGATGTTGAGAAAGAGGCAGTCCTCGCTCTGGTCCTGCAGGTAGGGCAGCAGGCGCTTGAGGTACTCGAGGCGACCGCGCGGCATACGCCGCAGGGCGGCCGTCTCGTTGGCGATGTCGGGCAGGCGCTGCGGGCACACGGGCGCGAAGCGGTCCGCCACCTTGACGCCGGCCCAGCGCGCGCCCGTCACGGGCGGCATGAAGCGCAGGTTGCCCACCGGCGGCGAGGCGTACGGAATGCCGCGGAACACTTCGACGGGCTCGAGGCGCCGCGAGTCGAACGTGACGATGACGCCGCTCACGTCGCCGTACTTGGTGCGCACGGTGCG